GGGGGGCACCCCGAAAAGCCTCGGTGGGTGTAGCCTGCCGGGGTGCGGGCGGCTGTTGGGCCCCGCAGCCAGGCCGGGCCCCTGCGAGGTTCTGCGGAGCAGGAGGGGCTCTCCTGGCCCTCGCAGGCCCAGCGTGGGACGGGGCAGCGAGTTGTTCCTGCCCAAATCCGCGTTATTAAAGCCTTCCTTCATGCTAACGCCACAGGGAGGATGCGCCTGGTCCCAACCCGTGCCCTGCCCTCCCACCTGGCCCTCACACCCTGCCTGGTCCCCCCGATGCTGTGCTGTCGGAGGGGCAGAGCTGCTGCTTGTGGGGCACCCACGTTTGCAGGGTGAAATCCAGCAGCAACTGAGGTAAATCCAAAAAAAAGCCAAGGGATGTGGCAGAAGGGTAAGGTAAGCTGGCTTAATGGGAAACATCAGCCAAGCAGCAGCAGCTGTGGGCTCCAAGTGCCTCTTTTCCTTGGCCTTGGGGGAGAGATGCAACTGCTTATTGGGGTCTTTAATCCTATGAACAACTCTAGAAAGTGTATAGAGGTCAGTCCAGGCAAATTGCACAGTCAGTGGTAGGGTTTTTTGGACAAGCCAGGGGTTAACCGAGTGTTGGATCCTTTGGCCCAAATTGCCTAAGCACTTACCTCAGGAGTGACCCTTTCCACACAAGCAATTACTAGGCAATTACAAAACAGCTGGAACACAGGCCTGGAGCATTCCAAGGAATAGTGGTCATCAGGGAATAATACACAGCCCCAGCTAACTGAAGTGGATTATTTCAGGGTGAATCTGCTTTTGTTTTGTTTCTTGTCTGAGTTGCCTTGTCTGTCCTTTTCCCCTCTATCCTTCCTCTGGTTTTCTTTGAGGAAGGATGCATGTGACATGGAGCTCTTCCATGGAAGCAGAGTGGTTACCAGCCTTTTCCTTGGTAGTTTGATCTCTCTGTCCTTTGCCAGTCCTTGGCTCCACCTGAAATCTCTCCCAGCTCTTCCGTCAGTCTGAGTGCACACTGTCATCTCTGCTGAGCAGCCTTACTTAACTTGACAACCCTATTTTAGGGCCTTATTTGATGAACGCTTCTCATGGTAGTGGGTTAGGTAGATGCTCCTTCTTTTGGTAGTCTTCTTGCTGTGCTCTCAGTTGCAGTAATGGGATCACTCTGGAGCAGTTTTTCAGCCACCTAACCGCTGATGGGGATCGGTCCATCTCTCCCAACTCTGTGACTGCACAAGCAGTTGGAGTAGCACAGCTAAAAGGCAGTTGACTCAGCAGTAGGGCTGCCATGGGAGGCAATGTCTGCTGAGGTGTGTTCTTGTGCCCCAGCTCTGCAATTCTTTTCCCTGTGGGAGCTCTCACAGTAATATTTTGCTTTGGTTAATGGAGCATATTGGATAACATATCTGAACTAATAAAGCAGCTTATGTATTTGCTTGCTTTTTCTTTAAGGCTTACTGTTTCTTGCTCAAGAGGTTTTTAACTTCATTAATGCTCTCAGCATTCTCTGCATCCTCTCTAACTGACAGTTTGCCTCTTGCTGGGCTTTACAACTCGTTAGCTGATTTTTATTTTTCATTCCTTCATCCCTGCTGTTGGTAGCTGCCATACTTGGTCTTGAAGCTTACAACTACACTGCTGTCCCTTAATTGTCTTCCCTTCACTTATGTGAGGTTGCTCATCTACAATTATTATATCCTGTTCTGCTTATTTTGCTTGAAATACTCTGTTAAGGTAGAAAAATGCACACACACAAGAATTCTTAAACTTCAGGATACAGTAATTTCACCCTTCTGATCAGATCACACATTTTGGTGTCCACAAAACCTTACAGATGCAGCAATTCTGTGATGGATGCAGGACATCAATTAGAAATAAGCTTCCCCCATGGACAGATTTCTGCATGATTGTACTTGATGGTATTTCTTGAAAACTACTCTGGAGGATCTGTCCCTGACCTTTGTTGGATGTGATGCTGGACTAGTTGTGCCTCTGATCTTCTTCAGGGTGGCGATTTCTAAAGCACTGCTATTCCACCTCTACAAGCTCCTGTCCTAATTTGTGATACAAAATCAGGACACATAACTTTTATTTGTGATGCTGTGCCTTACCTGCCCTCTTCTTCTTGCTGTGCATTTTCCTGCTCCCCATCACTTTATATTCTGAGAGTGCTTCTGTTGTTTGACACTCCCAAACTCTGTTCTTTGCTGTCTCCCAGCGCCGTTGTTCTCTGCAAAAGGACTGTCTGAAGGGAGCAACTGTTCAGAGGCAGTGTAGTGTGATGGAGCATGAGGTTTCGGACACATTGTTGAATGGGGAGGTGCAGGTATACTAACTGAGCAACATTGCCTTACCTCCAAATGGGATTTTCAGCCTTAAGCTGAGCACCCGAGGCAAATGGTATAGAGGGAGGTGTGAATAACCAAGAATGATATCCTAAAAGAGATCTTGCTTAGAAGGAGTTGCTTAGGCAGGGCTGGCAGAAATGCTGAGGAGAGCAGTGCAGCTTTAGCCCTTTGCTACTCGTGGAGTAGGCACTTGGCTGTGGATTGCCAAAAGGTGCCTGTCTTGGTCTGAGGGTTTACTCCCTTGACCTTCTTCTGGGAGATGGGGCTTTGTGTTGGCTGTAAGAGGGTCCAGAGGTGGCTCTGCCTTCTCCCCTTTTGCCTCTTCTTTTATGAGCTAGAGCATTCAGTTGTGGGAAATCCAGTTTTCGTTCCCTCCTCTGTCTTGAGTATTTAGGTATTAAGTATTAGCAGTAGGAAGGACAGCTGAAGGACCAGTCTCCCTTTGCTCAGGATGAATGCCATACACATTGGGCAGTGTTCCTTATTGTTTGCACTTGCCACAGGGAGGATGCTGGTTGCTGATGGTCTGGTTGACTTTCAGCACTGTACACAAATACACACTTAAAGCTTATGGGCATTTTTCTTTAATTCTTTGAGATGTGAAAAAGTCTAATCAGTTGGGAGAAGCTTCTCTTCTCTGTAGCCTAAATCCTGAGGACACACAATTGCATTTCAAGAAACTTACCAAGCAGCCAGCACTGAGATGAATTAATTTTTTTTTAAGTAGGCCAGAGTCTTGGCTTGTGCAAACTCATGATAACAGACAGCACCATTTTGTGTAGGTGAGGCATGGCCTGAACGCAGAGGGAAGAAAGAGGACCTCCTTGTTGTCAATGTGGCTCTGGCTTTCCAACTTCTGGCAAATTTTTTTGCTGTATCTACTCAGTTTGCCTGCCTGTAGAGCAGAGATAATATTTTTCAGTTCCTGGGGGAAGATCACATGTGTGAAGGACTTTGAAGATAAAAAGCACTCTATACTAGCTATTACCGTTAGCTTTACATAAAACCAGTTATCTAACTCTTTTATGCTGTGTATCTGAGCGATTCACGCATATCTAATAATAAAGAACTCAGAAATAGCAGTGTGTTGCCAATGTAGGGAGAGTGGAGCTGTGAGAATATGCCTCACTCCTGTTTTTAGCCAACAGGCAGGAGAAGGTATTGCTAATTCTTGCACTTTTTTTTTTGGTTTTTTTTCTTCAAGCTTCAGCTGCTGGAGTCATGTGGAAGACTTGGGCAGAGGGAAAATGTCATCTTTCACAGGATTTAGTGACACTAATTGCTGAGTTGAATACTGGTGCTTAAAATTTAATTAGTAGTAGTGTCTTAGCATACTATAGGAGTCTCGTTTTACTGATTAGATGCCATATTGTTTTGATTTATGTGAAGGAGTGTTTCCAGGCAAACTTGCTGTATTTTGCTGTGTTTAGTAATGTGCATATTGGGAAGGTAAACATAGCTCAACTTTCTCTTGAGATAATTTGCCTATAGCAGAGAATTTTTACACTTCCAATTGACCAACTACTGCCCAAACCTATACTGGAACTATCTTATGTTACCATAAGATAATGTAATTGTGGTTCTCTAATCCTTTCAGGTCTATTTATAAATGAGGTAGGGTTTGTACAGAGACATTATGCTCTTATTAGCCAACTGATATAGCTGGAGGAAGAATCAAACTTTCAGATAGTTTGTGTTCCTGAAAGATTCTCTATTTTTTGTTGTGATTTTTTGGGGTTTTTTTTCTGTTTGTTTGCTTGTTTGTTTTTTGGTTTTTGGTGGTGGTTGGTTTTTTTTTTCCTTTGACAGTATTAGGTGATCTGATAAAAGTTACTACCTCTCACAGACAAAATAACAAAAGCCTCTGAGGTAGCACAAGTCAAGGGCAGAAGTCACCAGCCCTTAAAAAGTATAGATCAAAGAAATGCTGTATGGGCATATTGGGAAGACATCTGTAACCATATCTTTTTTGTCTATGAGGTGTTTAAGACCTAGCTGATAAGGTTAATACAATGCTGCTTTTCTGGCTCGGAGCAGGAGCTCAGAAGTGGTAAGACTGTAAAAATGAGAAACCCATCAAAAGAGGTTACTCACTTGGGCTGTCTTCTGGTGGCTGCCCGGGCAAGGGCATTGCCCTCGCTGTGGGCCCTGAGGGCCATCAGGGAGGTGCTGGGTGGGTACCCTGTGCCCTTTATAGGTCATGATGTCTCACTGTCAAAGTAAGAGAGCATTGAAAGCTCCTTGGAAACTATGTATACTTCTTCACTGATGCGGAGCTTTCCTTTGGCTGTTTTGCAGCTGAGGCAGCTTTTTGGGAGTGCTGTGCCTGCTTTCCCTCCAAAGTTTTACCTGGCAATGACCAAGTCAATGGCAGATGAGAGACGGTCTCAGCTAGAGCAGTACCTTCAGAATGGTAAGCTTGGCTATAACAACTTGATCAGCTTTCATACATAGGGCTTAAACCTTTGAGGATGTGTCTACGATTGTGACTGCAGCTCCTATACTGAGCTAAGTAAGGGTGTATCTAAAAGTCTGGGGCTAAGCGTTGCAGCCCTGTCCTGTCTGTTGGTTCACTGGCTTTAGAACAGCAGCATATCATATTTCTCTTACTTCTGAAGCGGCTGCCTTTCTGCAGCTTTCCCAAAATGTAAGGGTGCAGTTTCACACTAAACTGAAGCCAACTTGGCCTTCTGGTGAAAGCCTGTAGTCTGGCCGTTCTCTGTTCTTCCAGATCAATGAGCTGAGCCATCCATCCCTGCTGCTTCACAACTGCCAGAGCTGTCATGGGGCCGGGTGTGAGAACTCATGGTTGATGGGTAAAAGAGGGAGGCAAAAAAGACAGGCACTCGGACTGGTAGAAGTGTAATACGGAACTGAGCTCTACATAGAACTCTTCCCTTCAAGGGTTTCCAGGCAGATTTGTGAGAATTATAACAAGAGTTTGTAGAAAAATTAAATCTCAGGCACAATGTGTTATGTTATAAACCAGGTCTGCAGGATCCCTAGAATGTGTCTCCTGAGTTTCATGTAAGCCAAGAAATAAAAAAAAAAACACAACCATTTCAGCTAACTAAAAAGAAGGATGTGTGAGGGGATGAGCTTAAAGAGGTTTTGTAGCCTCTGGCCTCAGATACTTTGTGCCAAGACTTACAAAACAGAAACCCAAGATTAGTCTTTAAAATCTTACTTAGTGATTATTTCATCTTTTTCACTTGAGTATTCAACAGTTCCTTTTAGAGTTACTGGCCATGGGTGACCACGGCGTTACGTTGCCAAGAACCTTACTGTAGTCTTGCTTTGGGAGAATAGCAACACTACATGTATTTTGCACTGTTCATAGCTTCAGTGATTTAACAACAGGCTAGTAAAGGTAGCTGTGCAGAAACCAAAGGATGAGTAAAGTAGCACTGACTGTTTAACCAATAGTCAGATTGTATACATCTTGTCTTTAGATACTAGCTGTGTTTTTCATCTTTTGGCTAAGTTTGGTTTCCTCCCTCCCCGTTTTCCTCTTGTTTTTCAGTTACTTTGGATTCAAATATTACCAACAGTGATGTCTTCATAAGTTTTTTCCGAAAGCTACAACAGGTAAGTTTTGAATTTTTTAGCCAAATAGTTTGTTATATGAAAGAGTCGAAATATTATCCTACCTTCTGAGTTCAAGGCTTCCTTTGCTATCTTCCTTTCCTTGTGTTCTTAGCGTATTGGTCTGTCTTGTAAAGCAGCGAGTTCCAATGACAGAGTGTTCTCTGTGAAACCTGGGTGGCAATAATCATAGTATTGCTATTGTTTTGTCCATGTACAAACTTGTTTCTCACATGGAAAGAACTATTTGCTTTGTTTTTATATCCTGTGGCATATCTGATGAATCTTTTGCCTCTAAACAGTTCCCAGAAGAGTCTTTGTGAGAACTCAATAGAAGGATTACACACATTCTTGGATTTTGCAACTGTAAATGCTTTTTGGTAGTGTCAGTGCTTTGGGCTGATAAGTGTATTGATGACTGCTGTGAAAATGTCATGTTCTCTTATCTTGCAACTGTAGTGATGGGCAGAATCTGGCATGTATTTGAGTTGTTGCAAACCTAGATGACTTTTGAAATCATTTTTAATGTGGTCCATGACATGTGTGATCTTTCTTTGGCAGACTTGGAGCCTGGATAGCTCTTGCTTGTGTCTGACTACTGCAAGGTGCCATATGTCCCTTTTCTTCCCTTACCTCCTTTCCAGCTGTTGTGGTTCTTATGAGGATAGTAGTGTTTTGGAGCAGGTGGGTGCAGTATGACTCCAAAAGCATTTTCACAGAGGGGATGCTGCTTTAGTTTTCTGGGAAGTGCTTGGCATGCTGCTGGTGCTGCTGTAACCTCACTTGCAGTGAGTTGTTCTGGAGAGGGGATGTTTTGATGGACTGAGTAAGAGTTTTGTGACTCGAGAGCTCTTCACTTGCTGTGTGTGATTAAGGTATGTAAGGGGAGTTCAGAAAGGCTATAGAAAATGGTGTGAAGAAGTATTCCTAACAAATTCTAGAAAGGTTTTTCCTATATACTTTGTAAATAAAAAGTATATTTTATTTACAGTCTCTTAAATTTGGACCTACTGAAGTGTTCTAGACAGTGAATGAAAAGCACCTTTCTGATTAGGGATTTCTTTTGTGAAAGCAATCTCTCTTTAGTTCTGATCCAATGCCTGTTATAGCCCTACAGATAACTCCCAGCAATTACTACTGAGTCTTAATTAGTCTTGGTGAGACTGATAAGAGGTCTGCTAAAGAAAGTTAAATCCATCAGGAATGCCCTCAAACACTGCCAACTGACTTTTTTTGACAAAGTTCTGGCAGGAAATAACTCTTCAAAATGCATGTTTGCAGTGTTTAAAAATATCTTTTGGCATGCCAGTATTGTGGATTTCTCTTAACATAACATCAGAAATTATGTCGTATATTTAGGTTTTTCTTTACTGCAGGCCCTTTTGGTGAAGAGGGGTGACTTGATAAGTACATATGTAATACTTACTTGATTTACAGGTTATGTACATATGTGTGTGTGCTTATTAAGGCATGTGATGACTGTGCTGCCAAAAGCAGTCAGTTATTTTGTAGAGTTCAAGGTAGGCACTGAATTATACCTTAAGTGTTAGTGCAAGTACATTCTCAAGACATAAAATTAAGTCAAATTTCTGTTCCACAATACAGTGTATTTTCATACACGATGTTTAGGCTTCCTGCTTGGCAAAGACAGTAGTTCTCCAGCTTTTTTTGTTTACAATTTAAACTTAAAATAGTTGTGCTTACAGAAATTACTGCTTCATAATACAAATAGCAGTAGTGCTTTATGTGTGCTTTCATTATGGTAAAGAACAAACTCCTAAGAGAGATTGAATAACTCTGTGAAAGACAGGAGTGCATCCACTGTCATTAGCTGCGCACAGTGCCTTTAACTGGTGTAACTGATGGGTGAATAACTACTCATTTTGGCTATTAAAGAATCTCACTCAACAGACTTGCTTTGTTGTGCATGTTGCAGTATTTATTAGTATACTGTGACTTGTGAGATGTTTTATGGCAGAGTGACAACATTTCTGTAACAGCATTGAAAGACATGGAGTGAAGTTAATCTTTAAAGCACCTCTGTACAGTTCTTTCCTCCTCCATTGTTGAAGATGTGTAGGCAGCACTTAGTGTCCTACCCGTTGCTTAGGAATGAAAACATAGTTAGGGTTTCAGTGTTAAATGCTACTTAGTGTTAAAACCAGGCATTACCCCAAACTTGCTCTTGTTTATGTTACATTGCAAGAGAGATGATTAATGAAAGATTCAAGAATAAAACATCATTAAAATGGTGAAATAGCATGCTCCTTTTCTGTCAGTGACATGGACTGGCTTTGACTAGTCAGTCTTGGCTACCTGAAACAAGCTAGTGCACACCTGTACAAGCAACCTTCCAGCTAATGTGGGAGAAGTGGCAGAGGGACCACACTGCAGGTGGTGATGAATGGGAAGCCGTCAGCCACTTGTCTGCCACCACAGCTGTTTATTGAGCACAGGTCTGTCTGCAGATAAAACCAGTGCAGCTTTTGTAATAGAAACCTTCAGTTTTAATAGAATGAGAAGATAGGAAACCAGAGGTGAATGAGATTGCTAGGCTAGGTTTTTTTCCTAAAAATTCTACTGCTGACTTTTTTCACCTTCACTTTTTTCTTTCATTATAAGAGAGAGTAGAGCTGTCCTCTCAGGTAGTCTGCTAGTGTTTGCTTTGTTTTCTTGGCTTGTCTTAAAAACAGCAGTATTTAAGCTTCTAGCTGAAGATATTTGTGTATGTGACTAAAACAGAAGATGCAAAGGAAAAAACAAACTGAATTTAAGACCTTTTTGGTCCTTGTCCTGTGTTTTGCTTCTGAATGGGGTTGTGAAGGGTATGCTGAGACCAGCACTCCCTGGAGTGGGAGTGGTGTGCGAGGACCATGGCTTTACTGCAGCTGCCTGACAGTGTTGAACATGACTCATCTGTATCTGCACTTAGCATCACACCAACCAGCTATATCCCCCTGATCATATCTAACAGGGCAAACTTTTGAAGTGGAGACAAGCCCATGCATGTTAACCCTGCTTTCCAGGCCCCTGTTTTTGCTGAGCACCACCTTTACCTGTTGCATAGGTTGTTGTGGTTTGCTCCTTATAGCAGGCATGCTCTGGCTGTTTCCCCAGCAACCTAATCTCATGAGAGAAGTTGTCGGGGCAGCAGGGCTCCTGACACATGGGGAAGCAGCTTGGCACTGGATGCTTTGCCCAACACTATCGTGTAGCAGAGTTGAACAACCTAACCCATAACCTCCCTGCCCCTCCCCTCTTCCAAACTCTGCAAACTTGGCCAGTGACCAAGCTGGAGAGACAGATTCGGTATATGCCCCGCTACCTCCAGCCCCTAAAGACAAATGGCACAGTTCTTGCAAGAGGTCATTAACAAGATGAGACCGTTGTGGCTGTGTCATGTCTTCTCCTTTTTCATCAGGAGAAAGATGGTACGAGCAGGAACATACATTACTATCAGTCTTATTTTAATGCAACTCATCTATATCCTTGAATGAAATATGAGATCATGGTCTGTCTCTATATTGGGCACCCATGGAGTAATGTGATGTATTCAGGATGCAGCTGTGAGGACAGCCAGTCATTATGCATTTATGAATAAAATTGAGACATATTTCCTTGCAGCAGCGGAGGTTTGGAGTTAGTGATCTAGGAGGCTGATCTTTTCCAGCCTGTGTTGCTGGTAAACAGCAGCCTTTAGCATGAGCAAAAGAATTCAGGTGTTGGCAAAAGGACAGATTAAAAGTTTCTGAGTACTTGAGCAAATAGAGCCAACCAGTGCCTGATAACAGGCAAAAACCGGTGTTCTTATATGGTCCTTCATCAAAGGACTCCGATGTAAGGTGGTTTCCTTCCAAAGAGCAAGCTTGAGGCCAAGAATTGAATACCATAAGAAAGCTGTGGTGTGTATGCTATTGAGAGTGTAGGTAAAATGTAACCCAGAAATCTGCAGGTGTTACCAGGAATCAAAGCTGGTCTGACCATGGGCTGCATTTTCTTGGGATAGAGCCCCTGTCTCTGACCATGCAGCCTCTGTTTCTCTGCAACGTGCTTACCATTTGTGCACGCAATGGAGGAATGCACGTTTGTAATATTCTTCTGTACTTGCTCGCAGTAACTCACAAATATGTTTGGATGTGTATGTATACAAACAGAAGTCAGGCTGAGTATCTACAATTTCAGCACTTCTCTAAAAATGTTATTTCTTTCATATCAAGCCAGGTTGGGTTTCTTATTTATGAACTTCTATTTCAAAAGTACAGCTGGCCAGGAATCTGAATTTCATGTGGGAAGTTCCCATACTTTAAAACTTTTACTGTGTGCTGGCCAGCAGGAAAGGTTTCTGGCATAGAATTTCTGAAGAATTTTAATTCGAGGATGTCTATTTTATTTTTGTTTCAATGTTAAGATGCAATTCAGTCCCCTGACTTGCTGTTCTTTTCAAATATGTTGTAATAAGAGCCTCTGTTCTCTCCCTTTCTCCTTTTATGGCCCATGCTGCTTAGCTGAGCAACAAATTCATTGAGAGCTTGCCAAGAGTTCAGATTGGTGTTGACTTCTGTTAAAACAAAATCACTTAATTTTTTCTAATGGAAAACTGTGGGGGAACTATATAATAGATATCTTTTTTGGGTTTTGTTTGTTTGGGTTTTTTGTTGGTTTTGTGGTTTTGGTTTGGTTTTTTTCGCCCAAACCTGTTCTTTTCATCAAAACCAAAAAATGGAGAAAATCCCTCACCAGCTCTGTATTATTTTGTATTCTTATATTAATGACTGAGCTGTGCTTCAAGCTGCTGGGGCAGGCAAGTGGGGAGTAGGCAGCAGTTCTAGATGTTTCAGGAGATTTTACCACAGGTAATAGTGACAGCGTTAAGGGAAGATTCAAATAAGCAGTATTAAGGGATACAAGAAAGTGTCCAATTCTAGTTACATGGCATGTTCCCTGAATTTCAGGAGCAAAAGTGTAGGAAATGTGAAAAGTACTACTGAACATGTGCTGTTGCCAAAATACAGGTTTTTTGATATTGGTGCCTGTTTTGAGTAGATGAGACAATGACTCTGCTGCATTTTCCAAAACTAAAATAGTAGCTTGGGAAAAGATCTGAACTTTTCTGACTCACTGCTGCAAATTTCTTTCAAAACTATTTTTCTGTCCGTTTTGGAAGTGGTTGGGATTGCCATGTGCACTTACTAAATGGATTATCGCTAACACTGATAAATGTTCTTCCCTTTGTATTTGTATTAAACTTATGTTGGATTCTCTTGTGTTGTTTTAGGGACATGTCTGTATTTGTATTTCTTCACTTAACACTGTCTTCTCCTGCCTTACAGACTGCACTGTTTCCTCCTTTTGTTTTTATGTAAGTAAATTTTTTTGGTCGCAACAATACTTCACTGATAAGAGGCTAAACTCAAATATTTATAACACTGAACAATGTGTGGAACTTCTGGCACGGACAGTTCTGCCTTCTGGGGTAAAAGCATGTGATAATCAGTAGAGTCAAATAAGATAATTTAAAGCAGTTTTTAAAAGAAGACTGTGGAAATTACTGGTTTAAGTATTCAACAGTGATACTTGATGTGACCATTCTTTTCTCTAATACATCCTTTCTTGTAGAGCTTCAAATTAATCTGCCTACTAATACGTTGCATGGTATTCGTGGAGAACTCAAATTTCTTGGAAGTAACTTGAAAGTTTGGATCGTGCTTTTCTTCTTCCCCTCATGATTGCTGAGTAGTGAGGTGGCAAGTAGGGTAGGGTGCTGCGAGGTGTGACTCCCTTTGAGTGGCAGAAGGGTAAAGCGACCCTTGTGTCTCTGACCCTGGGCTGCCACAGTGGACCAGGTGGCCTGCACCCAGGCTGTGAAAGCTGCAGGAGCAGCAGTGAGGATCTGGCAGAAGTAGATGCATAAAGTCCTCCATGTCCTTTCCTTATGGGAGATTCAGCATTAGCAACCCACGCCCAGAAGCACTTACTGCGCTGTGTGAGCCTTTGCACTTGCCTTCTCCTCCAGCACTGCTGAGTCCTGGGTAGTAAACTGGCTATATAGCGACCTGCTTGCTCTTTGTCGAGAGTCAGCAATGAGTTACATGTCTTTATCTCATTCTGATGTTTTCATCCCATGTTTGTTCCACGTTTCACATACATTTTTATCACATGTGGAATGTTTCATACCAAAATATGTGTGCCAAAGGCATTTGTGAGGAAGTGTCTGCTCCTTCCTGTTTGAGGAAAGTAGTAAAGTACTTGGGTAAGCACAGGAGATGATCCTCGATGTAAGGGAGAGGGGCTTTTGTATCTCCACAGAAGCAAAGTAGTGCTTATTTGAATTAGGAGGAATGACTAGACCTGTCTCCTGCATAAGAACGAAATTAGTTTGGGGATAAAGATTAAATCTGTATGGATCCCCAGAAGGACTTCAGACAGGGCATTGTCTAGGGCCTTGAGAAGAGGTTCTCTTGTTCTTTAATACGTGCAAGCAGATGTATACGCATGCAGCTAGGTGAAATACTGGGTGTCAGGAAAATCTGTGGGAAGTCTTTAAATAAAATAAGTCTGTTTAAATAAAAAAGATTGTTTTGTTTTGGTTTTCCTCAAGACCTTTTTTCCCCACATATCATTCTACAAACTTTTGATAACATGTTCTTAATTTTTAGATGTTGTGGAAGAAAACACTTCTTGTTTGCATTTGATCTTACCTTGAAATAACTCTTAATTAAGCCAAATTTACTGGAAAATGTGGTCTTTCTGACCCAAAAAAGTTACCAATCTGACCTGAGTTAGTTAATTGGAGTCATACATCCTAGCATGTTCTCCAGGGTACCCAAAGAGGGGTAACGGAGCACACAAGCATAAATGTCATCCCTGCCACCCTGCTCTTCCTGACATCACAGGAGTCAGGAGATGCTCCTATTTACAGGCACCATGAAGACTCTGCAGCAAGATACCAAGAATACTTGAAACCTAAGGGCTCCCAGGGAGTCTCCCATATCTTCTACCAGGCTAGCGAAGATGGATATAAGAAATTAAAATTTAATGTTGCGTGCAGTATGTACAATTACAGCATTTTGCTCCACGATGAATCTCAAGGGAAGTACCTCTCCTTAATTAATAAAAATGCCAGAAGGACCATTGCTGTCCTCTGATACAGGGCAGTCAACAGGAAGAGGAGCTGCAGTGATGAGTTTCTGCCACCTCATCCAGGTGCATCCCCAAGGGAGTTCTCAAACTAGTCTCCAACCTCTTGAAACAAGTAACTGAATTCTCATGCATAGCGAGGCATGGGGCTTTCTGAGTTTGAGCTCAGGAAAATCTTTTAGGAAAATATAAAGTCTTGATATAAAACTAGTGGAGAATACCCCATTCCTGTCCACTACTTTATAGTTAGAAATGTATGCTTTACTTCTAGTCTGACTGCACCTATCATCAGCTGACAGCCAGTGGATCTGGCTTCTGTACTTTAGTTTTCCAGATTGCAAATCACCCCTTTATTATGTCTAGACATAAGGCAGTTCTCTGAGGTCACTTATTTGAGACCTGTTTTCTCATGACCTAAATGCTTTCAGGTTTCTTGTTTATATCCCCTTTCCATTTGCGGTGGTTTTGAACCTCAGGTGCTGGCACTGCACAGTATTCCAGTAGCAGTGGCTCTGGAATATTAAGATTCCATAGCCTCGTTATTCTCACTGGAGATTTTCCTATTTATATGTTCAGGGATGCATTTTTTCCTTTTGGCAAGATTGTGGCTTTGAATATTCACATGCAGCTGTTTATCCACCTCCTCTTTTTGGAGTCTCTACTTCCTGGGACAGTGACTGCATCGTTCCTACAGACACTGAGACACTAGGTAACCTGTGCTCAGCTTAACATCGAAGTGACCCTCCTCTAATTCTGCAGTATCTTCCCACTTACTGTTCTGCATATGTTTTTTTGTCATCTGCAAGCTTTAACAGTAATCTTAGTAACTTACTGCTTAGTAAACAGTAATCTCAATTGTTTATTTTACTTGAGTAAATAGGGAAGTGGAGCATCAGCATCTTCAGAGGGGCTCCAGAAATATGGAAAGCAATAAAAGTGTTCTGTTTCTACCTAACAGGATACATTTAAGATCCAAACCCAGAGAGCCTTTTTGGATGTTTACCTCGCTGATGGCAGCAATATTAGACTTCATATCCAGACATCGGACACTGCAGAAAGAATATTAGAGGTAATGGGTTTCTAGAATTGTGTTGAAATTTTCCATTTGTGAGGAGTGGGCAAAAATGAAGATAACTTCTATCAGGAAAGGATAAAACTCCCTATTTGAAGACATACCAGAACATCTTCTGTGTTTTTTGAGGGGTTTATAGTACCAGGGGCAAGGGAGGTGGGGGCGTTGCTGATTTTGCAGATGAGCTTTTTTGGTTCTTAATTTGTCCATAATTTACCTGTTCTTAATGTTATGTGCCCTCTGCTTCTATAGCATTTGGCTGTCAAGTTCAGGTTTCCTTCATGTATGATAAAATCAGAAAATATATACTATTCTTTATGGGGACACATTCTTAATTAAACCCCCTTTGGTTTAGCACAGTGTGGGTGAATGTGCTTGAACACTGTAGTCAGAAATGATGATCTAGTCTTGGCTTATGTCTTAACTGGTGCACTGCTGTTAAAACTTAGTGTGCAGCTGATAGGTCTTGTTTTTCTGCATGCTGCTTCTTTACTTGTTTTGTGTCCCTTCATGTTTGCTGTGAAACTGTGGGACTTCCTTTGCAGCATTGGCGTGGTTCTAGCACTGTGGCTCTGGGATGTCTGTAACAGCTGTTGTAATACATACAGTAAACAATTGCTAGTTATATTTTGAAACCAGTAGCAACCAAATGTTGTTTACACAACTAGCTGGCTTGTGTTTGAAACTTTCAGCTGGGGTTCCCTTCTTATGCCAGGAGAGGAGGAGCAGCAGTGGCTCTCCATGTTTTGTGTATTTGCATGTGTGTGTGCATGAACAAGGCTGAAGCCTCTTCCTCAGTTGCTCCTATTTCCTAATCTTAACAGCAATAACAAAGCATACAGCTGCCAGATGGGTACCTTTCTTTGTCAAGGGAATCTGAAATTTCCTCTCACCATACAGAAAATTATGTACTGTATTTCTGTTGTGCCTTTGCAATCTGAGTTTGTGGAGGTAGTTCGCAGCTGGCTATAGGTACAAGCGAGCTGAACATGTATTCACTCTCCTCCACCAGGCTGACATGTGTTAGTCTGGCCACAGAACACACACAGTATCTGTGCACAGTTACCGTGAGTTGGATAACACAGGGTAACCCCTTGCTGGGTTTGTTCTGCCATGGGGTTTGCACCACCTGAGGCAATGCCGGTTCTTCCAGGGGAAGGTAAGTGTCAGAGCTGGCCTCAGACCCTGCAACAGGAGACTTATGGGGTGGAAGATGCTGAAGGCTAGAAGTGTTGGGGGTGTCAGGGAGATAGGAATTTTGATTTGGGGAGAGGGAATTGGGTACTAATAGGGTGGAAGAAGAAGACGTTTTTAGGTAGGAGACTTGCACAGGGACCTTGAGTAAGGAAAGGATTTGCTAATATACTTTAAAAAATACTAATAATTTTGGCTTGATAAACTTGTTAGTTTTGCAGTGGGTCACCATAATTTCCAAGCCAGACAGTGGTGTTGTATGTTGCTTTGTATATTGCATTTATAGATGTTTAATGTTTATGTGGCACTGTAAAGAAACAATGATGTTTGAAATGCTGCAGACACATTTCTTCTCTTGTGGTCTTAAAGATGAGAATAGGACTTTTAGGAATTATTTAGCTTTCATCATTGTAAATGTGCTACCACATTCACTGTTCTTTTGCAGTGGAGGTAGATTTTGCAACGGTCACTCCCTAACATCCTGGTGTTCAGGCAGCATATACCAGCTTGTGCTTTGATCTAAGAAATAAAATAAGTTAAAGTCCTACTGAATCCGAGATCCGTGTTTGACATTCCTGGGAAATGTCGTCTGGTACGCTTAGTATTATGCTAGTAAGGGATAACACGTTGAAGCTCTGTGGCTTATTTCTTAAAGTAACTTGTGGGGACTTCTTAGCACAGAGGCAGACAGAATGAAAGATGGTGCTGCTAATATTCACTTTTTTGTCTTTTCTGTTTGGACTTCTGAAACTTTCTTCCCATTATACCTGGTGTCTGAACTGAGTGTGAGGCAAGTGATTTTTATGCTCTGCTGCCCTCTCTGGTAATAGCCCTGATGTTAACAAGTATAAGGAAAACCTCATGAATGTGTTTTTCTAATTTTAACTTGGAACAATTCTTCCCAACCTATATTTAGCTTGATGTCTACTTTTTGCTCCATGCACAAAAACATGTCTGCTTTTTAAACCAGCTGATACAGCTGGAGAAAACCCTTCTGCACTGTGGAGATGAATGAATTTACAATGCTGTCACTGTGGCACAGAGCTAGAAGTGTTTTGGGATTGGCACCCTTTGGAAGAAGACTGAAAACCGGTATTTCCACCTTATGCTCAGACAAAGAAAGTCCAGCTTCTCTGACCAAAGCATGACTCCTCTATCAGGTTGCACAATCTGCCAGATGAGCTATGACAGGAGTATTCTCAGGTGTGGAGAGTTTTCTTACAGTTGCCACACCACTTTCTTGAGTGAACTCAGGATATTATGGTCACTGCAGAATTTAGGAATGCTCCAATGGCACCGTACTCTTTTAGATTATGGCTGCTTTAACTTATGCTTTGATTTTTCAGGACTTAAAATAAGACAATTGGCCCATTCTGATTCAGTGGTTTCTGTGCTCACCTCTGCCTGATTTTTCTGTCCCCACTATCCCATTGTGCAGCTGGTCCTGCAAATAATTTCTGTGTTTTCTGTTGGTGCTACTTCTGCCCTCTTTCAGAGAAGATGTAGAGGGGCCACAGCAAAGTAAAAACAGTCCAAATGTCAAGCTGGGTAGGATTTTTCCTCTTTATGCACTGTCAATAATGAAAGCTCAACAGAGCTCAAGTCTGCTCTTGTCAGAAGCCTTCACACAGAATTGTAGAACCCTACAACTAAGACTGGTGCTTTCAGTGAAGGGGCAGGACTTGTAGATATTTCCTAAAAAACCAGGAGGACTGTATTAGCTTGGAAAATACACAAATCCTATATTAACAAAACAAAACAAAAAACCCCACACGTTTGTGATGCTCATGAGCAATGTTGTTAGAGCACACAGTGCTCGCTGTACAACAGGATTTGAGGATTTAGTAGTAAAGATCTGGAATAACATGGCAGATGCCTTGCGTTAGAGGATACTTAAATGCACGGCAGAGTAGTAAACATTTGATATTTTATTATATTTTTATGTTCCTTTGAAACTCATGAAACTCCTCACAAATTCAAATGCTGCACTATGGGAATGGTTATATTTGCTTTTAAATGGGCAATTAAATGGGACATAAGGGAAAATTTAAAAACAATTCAGTTACATTAATAGGTGTTGAACATTTCTTCCTTATTCATGCTAATGGATAGCTAAGCTTCTGACCTCTTTTGTTTTTAAAGGTTACACTGTGCAAGATGGGGCTATCAAGAGAATTAATAAAATATTTTAGCTTATTTTTCTTTCAAGATCATGATGATGGAGTGCTCTCTGGTAAGTTTTACAAGGTGCTTAACTTAGCCCTCCCTTGGATTTTTTTTTTTGTTGTTGTTGGCTGCAGTGACTGATCCTGGAGTCTGAACAGAGCTTGCATGAGCCTGCTCAGGCTGAAAGACCCATCCTATCTGATTAAACCCCCTCAAGCCCTCTCCCCACATGGCTTGAAAAGAGTGGTAGTGGGGAACAAAGTATGGCAATAGATAGTGTGGTGCAGGGGTGAGACTTTAAGATACGAACACCATGTCCCTTTCAGTTTGCAAGACGTGTAGCAACTTTACCACATGGGAACTTCTGGGTAGGCATTTAATCAGATGGCCATACCTACATGAAACAGTTCTTAACTTACAGATCACATGCTGAGTTTAGCAATGGGACAGGAAACTTTTATTATATTTATGAACAATATCTGTGGCTTACTTTCCTTTATATCATGACATGTTTCCTTTCTTAACTGATAGAAACTTAAGTTTAACCATGATGGTACTCAGCAAGCTGTAAATCAAGGTTGGGAATCTCTATACACTCATAAAATGTGAAGGGGCTTTTATGTCCTCATTGGTCTGGCTGATGTCCTGTTTCCCATGTGGGCGGGCATGTGGATGAGGCTGGATCCATCATGTGGATGAGGCTGGGATAGGCTCGGGCCACATCAGAGAAGTGAACAGTCTTTGCTGTTGATTGGAGTAAAGTTAGGCATTGCAGCCTCTCTGTGTGGCCTTGACAAGTCATTTAGCTTTTTTCAGTCGTCTCATTGGCGTAAAGATGTTAATGCTCTTCTGAATCTTCTCAAGATGAAGGTCCAGGAGTAAACTCCGGTTTACTCAGTGGGGTAGGAACTTCACTGTCTGTGCCTATTTTATTTATCGTTCCCCTGCCTCCTTCTCTCTGTCTGTGAAAGATATCTCTGAGTACACAGAATCCCTGGCTGTTACTATGTCTCAAATATATCTGGATAGAACACATTTTATATACTCTTCTACTGCAGTTGCAGATGGATTTATTTTTGCCTTGTATTTTGATATAATCAGATACACAGGAGGATAGAAAAGTTTTTCTATTGATTACATTTCTATGCATCTTTGATATTCCTCACAAATACATTGAGTCCAAATGTAACCCACAGCTGACTGCCAAAAAATGTTCAGATGCTCACATGCTTAAAATCATATGTTTAAGTGTTGTGCTGAATTCTGTGGTATTGGCTTAGAAATAAATGTTTACAGGTTTGGGCCTTTAGACTTGTATTTTTTTTTTTAAAAAAGTGAGCAGGAAAGTGGTGACCTCTGAAGAGTGACATGCTTTTCTTGCTGTACATTAGTTATACTGCTCTTATCTAGTGTTCTGTTCAAGAAAAGCACCAGTCCTGGAAGCTTGCATCCACACATGTTAAGTTTAGACTTGGAGAAGTGAGGAAGATAACTAACCTGTCACCTTTACCCCAGAATTTATTTGTTAAGTTCTTTTTCTTCTCCAAAAGCACATTGCTAACTAGCACTAACTGATGTGAAAGTAACTGGGCTATTTCACTAGATTTCACCAGATGTCTCTGTGGTTTTTCTTCTTTTCCCAGTGGTGAAAAAAGTGGCAGAATTTGAACTTCCATATGTGAGTCTTCAGAGCATGAAAGAGTTGCACTGTAAGCTTGGGATCAGAAAGTGGTGAGCAAGAAGCGTAACAGAAACTATCAAGATGCATAACAACTGCTATGAACAGAGAAATAAACCCCTTGAATAACTTAGTTACAATGTCTTCAAGCCTCAGCAGCTTGACTGTTTTTCTCTGAGGCCAATTTGTTATTGGAATTGACTAGTTTCTGTGGCCCTGCATGTTTTAAGTTTTATCACTGTAGTATTCCTGAAGTGTCCTTTACTGCAGCTAGCTATTTATTCCCTCTCTCTTTCAGAATCTATAGAGAGGTGCTTTGTGGCTGCTTGCCTCCTAATTTTTATACGTGCATAATGCAGTGACCGCAAATAGGAATATACCTGTAAACACTATAGAAGAGAACTTTGAGTTCTGGGTTGCAAGCTGCAACTCTGGGGAGAGATGGATCCCTTTTTATCTGAAGTGCTCATTTCTATATACTAACACACATAATACCTGAGGCCATAGCTGGAGCATTTTTTTTTGGTAAGTGACCTGGCTTAAGCAGCAGAGCACTCTTCCCCTTTCATTTGCTCACACTTCGGGCTCCTCCTCAGTTATGCTGGTAGCTCTGTATGGGCAGACACAGTGAGCTGGATTGGTGAGTTAACCTGGCCTAAAAGTAAGTTGCTGGCTGTTTATTTTTTTTACTTGGTTTTGCTGGCCTGTTTTTGGCCTGGGTCAGTCCCCCAGTCTTGTTTGCTGTGCAGCAAAGAGTTGTGCTGACTTGTGGGTGAGAATAAACCCTGGGGACAGGGAGTCTGGTGCCAAAGTCCTGCTTGCCAAACAGTGCCCTGAAGGTGCAGTTAGGCAGTATAGCTGAGCCAGTCTAATGGCTCACTGCTGTGGTTGTGGTCTGGTGTACTTCTCTCTACAATGAAAAAGAAAAAGGGAATAGGTTTTTGCATGCTTAGTGAGTTGCATTGGCTGCATCAGATGAATGCTACAGCAAGGACCATGGTTGGGAGCAGAAGAGGAAGAATAGACCATGCCTTTTGGTGACAGCAAGCAAGGTTGCTTGGCTTGAAGGTACACAGAAACCTGTTGTTTGATGCTTGTGACTTGTCTAGTTTAAATCTACTGGGCTAGAGCTTGGCCTCTACAAAGCTTTCTCTGTTTCCCTATATGTGCCCTTATAAACTGCAGAAGCGAGCAGCCTAATGAAAGAACTGTGTGGTTCTAAGCTGTGACAGTGACTGAGTAGATACCTGTGAAAGGTATCCTTGAGTACACAGAATCCCTGGCTGTTACCGTGTCTCTACGTTACTGACTTCTCCATCTAGCACTGCCTCAAAGCACAGAGGTAGGAAACGGTAGTCCTGGAGTTGTTTGTGTGCTGCAGGAAGCATATCACCTGTGCAGTGTGAGTAATACGTACTAGCCATGGAGTCCACACTGCTGTGTTTGTACTGTCATGTAGACTTACCCAAGCTGCTTTTAAATAAAATGGCTCAAGCTAGCTGTTGCAGCATGGTACTTGGATACTGAGTATTTAATTTGCTTTGTTGCTGTACTGATCTGATCCTGCAGCAGTTCTACAGTAGTTGGTACTGCAGCTAGCTAGCTAGCTTAAGGCTAGGTCTTGCATGTCAGCACTGCGGCATGGCAGTAGACACTTTGAGAGTCTTACCAACTTTAATGTAGACAAACCCCTAGTTCTTTGAGAAAAGGAGATGAAAAGTTTTAAATTGTAACTGTTATGTTCGGTACCACCAAAATCAAAGTGGAGAGATTGGATAACCTGGCTTTAGTTTATTTCCGTTCTGCTACAATGTATAAAGAATGAGTATCATACACACTTCAAAGGCACAACTGTTTTTTGGTTTGGTTTTTTTTTAATCTGGTAAGTATTGGGATCTTTCTGGGTTGTGCTCCCATCATATTTAGTTGAAAAATCAAAATGCCATATTTAGAAGCATATCTTCATATTTTATTACTTTTTTCCCTTGGCTTGGAAAAGGTATATGGATCCTTCTCTTGATACACTGCTGATGGATTGTAGAGCTTCACTGAATTTGCTATATATGCAGGTAAAACTGAAAAGTCTTTATAATTTTAAAAGTTAACTTTCCCACATTAATGTCATCTTTTATACAAATTCCTGAAGTGTTTGTAAATGGTTCTTGTTTAGCACTGCTTTGTTGCACTTTTCTAAGTGCTAGGTATAGCTGTTGTTGATCATGTTCTTTTTTTTTTTTTTTCTTCCTCTCCTTCAAACTCACGTACTAGAGATTCTAACTTATCTGTGTTTTGTGCATGGGAAAAGTATTGCACAAAAAGTATTGCACATTGTTAGGTATCCGTCCACTCTATTTTCAAGTGTATATATGTATCTGTATGTCTCTAATATGTAGGCACTCTGCCATGATATGAGGGCATTTGATTTCTGAACTGTGTAGGTGTGCTGAGTTGTACTAGCTTTGGAAACTATTAATTCAGGAGGAAAGAACAGTATAGGGTGAACTTGTCCCAAAATCAAAGGCCTTGTTTAAAAAAAAAAAAAAAAGCTTTCTATGTGTTTCTGAATGTTTGTGTGTGAAAGGAAATACATTTTTGCTGACTCTTTTGCTATTTTTAAAAATTCTTTTAAGGCAGTCCAGGAAGTTAAAAGGAATTGGGTTAAACCAACAGAAGGGCAGATGCAGGAACTTGAATTTCTACAAAAAAATGCAAACAAAGAAAAGGTAAAATGGTATTTTAAAAACCATATAAACAGATCAAAGGAGTGTTTTTTGAAGCAATGATACTAGAGGCTGTGACTTTAAAAATAGAGCATGGTGGTGTGGAGTGGTTTGAGCTAGAGACCCAGGTCTCCCATCTCCCTTGGTCAGATACTGAGCCACGAAATAGAAAAGGAGGTTCCTGTCTCTACTAGCATTTTAAAATATCCCAACAGAATGACTTGGATCCCAAGGCCTAGCAAGAAGTTCTTGACTGTGAATCCTAGTCTTCCCTATTTGCTAAACTCGGGTGCCAATGTTTGTCATCCAGTTTAGGAAATCAGATGGAAATTGAGACTGCTGGGACTGCTGTTCTCAGTATTTCTTACTGGTTAGTTTTATCTCTTCCCATCATCATATCTGATAAGCATCCAAAAGACCCAGCTCATCATATCCAGTGTGGGGGGAGCGGGGGGGGGAAATCAAGTTTCTAAGTCTGGACAGTGAGCGCTATTCTCTGGATCAAGCACTGACATATTGTAGTAAATCTGTGTCCTCCCAGGAAAAAGTGTGTTAGGAATCTAAGATTTGCCTTATAGCCCTTCCTCTCCCTCTCTCCCCCCTGCCTCGCCAAACCACTAGATTTCACTTGCCTTTACAGCAAATCGCTTTAGTTCTGTCTTTTTGTTGCAGTTCCTGGAGCTGATTCGAGAAATGCAGTTCTATGGATACATACGGCTTGATCCTTGCATTTGTGACTATCCAGAAGAAGGCTGCTCAGCTGACATATATGTCGGCAATAATGAGATTAACTGCTGCATAAAACTGCCTATTAACCAAACCAAAGAGGTCAGCTTTAAAATCAACAGGTTAAAAAGTTGGCAGGTTACTTTTCTTGTAAGTACTTCACTGACTTTTTATCCAAATTTACTTTCTCTTCATGAAAACTAAGGTCGTCAGGAAAGGACAGGTCTGGGGGGAAAGGGGTGGTCTGTTTTAAATCCCTCCCATTTGCTCATATTCCCCTCCAAACCTATCCTATTCCCTTGGCAGCCTTTACAGCAGTAAACCATCTAGCCTTACTCTGCTATGTTTTCTCCCTTCCCTGGCATTCCATGTCATTCTTCACCTGCCCCTTTCCTTTCCTGTTGGAGGTAGAGTTGTCAGAGCTTTGTGTGGGAGAAAAAGAACTGCTTTAGCCAGCTTTATGCTTGTAAAGACTCCTCCTTCCTACCTCCCACTTACTCCCTCCCCCAGGAGAGGGTTCTGGTACAAATCTTCAGCTGTTTTAGTTATATACTGTATGAAACGAACCTAATTGACTAATTCTGATTTAAGGCTGAACACCTTAATGCTGTTTTTAGCTGTTTCTTCTGTTCATTGGGTTTTTTTGTTTGGTTGATTTTTTTCCAGGGTGCTGCAAAGGATAGTGAAGAAGATATTCTAGAGCTCAGATTTGAGTACAATGATTCAGGCATATGGCAGTGGATAATTTTGTACACAAAACAGGTTAGTTCTCAGTCCTTCTAGGAAAGGATCAGAGTAAAATGTAATCTTACAGCCATAGGGGATCTTCAAAAGTGGTTAGTCCATCTCTACCAGAGTGCAGGGGCTATGCTTTCAGGCAGGTTAGCCTAGGGACAGAGTTATCTGGGGAAAAGCATTTGAGTTTCTAGTACAAGGGGAAGAGGATTTTTTTTTTTCCCCATTGAAGAGAAATGTCTAGCACTCAGCAGCAAGCCTGGGATGGAGTGTGGAGAGGTGACATTTATTTACTGGACTCAGTAAGTATCCAAAATCATTAATTGGTCAGACCCACCTAAGGTCAAGGGCTCCCATTTTCCACAATAAATCCTATTGTTCAAATATAAATATATGCCATATTAACCCAGGTTAATGGAGGGTGTGAATATGTGACAGGTTAATGGAGGGTGTGAATATGTGACATCATAAGTATTTTTTTTAACATATAAATAATTCTTAAATAAGATTTTATAGAGTGCCATTCCTCCCACTATTTTCAGGCAGCCCTTTAAAGGGAAAGGTATCCAGGAATTCAAGTCATCTATCTGTGGTGATGCTGCCTAGCAAATAATTTAGGCTCTGCAGTGTCAAACACAGCACCAGTCTCAGTTTAGGTACAGAGCTTCTATAAAAAGTATAGAGCCTGTTATTCAAGTAAACTGCTTCTCTTGCCTCTGAGACCCACCCAGCAGCAGACACGATTTTTCAAGTAAAATCAAAATGCTTAATTTTTCACACATGGCTTCTGAATTCTGGGGTGGTGGTGCAATTCACAAGCTATTTAGTAAGTGTTAATTTCCTGCCACGTTTAAGTTTTATGAGAACATGAGCCATAAGCAGTAAGCTTTCTAGTTTCTTTGCTGTTGGAGAACAAAAAAAACCTAGAATTACTTCAGTATTAATCCTCCTCTGAAATCTATTAGGGTTGTACTTTATATAGTGACTTGATTAGAAAACCTGCGTCCCACTTTCCTCAGAAGCGTGAGGAAGAGCTAAAGGCCAAAAAGGTGCTGCTGTGTGGAAGAAACAAGGGTTTGATCCAAGAGCTCACTGCAGAAAAAGGAAAGACTGCATGTTTTGGAGCTTAGTCAGAGATGGCTCCCCCCTCCATCACTGATCTTGTAGGATATTTTGTCTTTGATTCATCTCTCAATGCTTGACATCCTACCTGAGATGCTTCCTTTTGGAGAGTAAGCGGTAAGGTGCATCTCCAGGGTGCAATTCAGACCTTAACTTGGGCTGCATCATCCTACGGAGTTGTACATGCTCATCGGACAGCATAAGGAACTAAGAACAGCTCCACTCCCCTGAGGTGCCTCTGCTAGATACCTAATATGTGGGATGAATGCATACTGCTCTGTTCATATGAGCTGTGCAAGATGTGACTCTGTGAGCTGGTCTACAAACAGTTGCGGCCATCTTGTGTAACCACCAGGGCTTTGATTTTCAGCAGTGCTGAGTGCCTGTAACTCCAGCTTGCTTTATTTGTTGAAGTGGTTTTGATGCTGATATTGCCACATTTGATTAACCTTACTTAGCCTTTGGTGTAATTTGGCAGCCTTTAAGGTAGGGGCCACAGACAACTAGAGAGCCACTAGACAACTTTGCCTCACAAAACCAGTCATAAAAGTTCTTATTCTCCACTCTGAGCAGTGCCATGAGGGTTAGTCATGCTGAGGCTGGGCTTTAAACAATTGCAGCTAGTTTGGTGCACTGTAAGGATGTTAAGCACAGAGTAAAATTAACTGAATTGGGGAAGTAATAGTGCAGTAGTTAGGGACTGTAATTTTCTGGTGGAGGAGGAATGGAAGAGTCAAGTACATCTTTTAATAGAAGGAATCAGAATGTTCTGTGGTTTATCCTCTTTAGGCCTTTTTGCTCAGTAGCTGCTTGAAGAAAATGATATCAGAACAGATGATGAAGGCAGCCAAAGAAGGCCAAGAAATGGTGAGCATGTGTGTATGTTGGTATCTGATTTTGTATTTAAAAGAAATAAGCCTGCTACTCTACCATTCTTTCAAATGTGCTGAGAGAAGTCCCACTGAGGAAAAGGATCTTGCATGTTCCAACATTTCAGTACAGAATTAATTGGCTAAAAAGTACATCTTCGCTCAGTTTTACTGAAATAATATTCTGAACGTTAAAGATAGTTTATCATCACAGTTTTAATAATCTGTTTTGCGTTCTCTCTCCTTGACTTTAATTTTTGCTGCATATGATAAAGGATATCTATGGCATAATTTCTGTATGTTCTGCACTACCCTGTTGTATCCATTTCTGGCTTTCACTTCTTTCACCACTTCACTTGCTTGCTCCATCTGCTGCAATGTTAGACCAATTTAAGATCTGTGACATTCACACTGAGAAACTTTTTGGTTTTAAATAGAAGTGTTAATAAAATAAAAATCTGATTTCTAGCTAAAATACTTCTGCTGTCTTTTGTGTAGGCCCTTAAGGATGAAAATATGTTTAGATACTTGTTATTTTTAAAAATAATTTCCAGCATTAATAATGCCTTTGTTTAACCTTGTGACATCTCAAGACTTTGAATGCCTACTAACTGAAAACTTCTAAAGAGGGAAAAAAGGAAAGGAACGTGTGATCTTCTAGACCTATGCTGATTACAGTGAGCAATGAGGCAATGAACAGCGTGTTTAAACTATAAGCGATTCAGAAGAAAAGACCAATTTTAATTTTGGGAAAGAGATGATGTCTTTAATTCTAAGTTTGTTTGTAATGGAAGTACAGTAAACCTTTAACTATGAAGATAAGCATTCATTACTTAAATATTCAGCTGTTGATAGTACTCAGGTAGCTTGGACTAAAACAGAATTATGAGAGAAGGGTAAATATGCCAGTTCATTTCTGTTTCTGCTGGGTTTAACTGAATGCTGATTTGCTTTGTATTTTGTTAGAGTACTTGGTGGAGCATTTAAGCTTATTGTAAGTTTAAATTTTTCAATCTACTTAGGAGATAAAGATGCCTGAATCCATGAAAAATAGTAAGAAACCCAGCATTCAACAAAAGCAGGTTAGTGAATGAGAAATTGTCTCAAAAATGTAAATACAGTGTGTCTTGCTAGTGGTGTTTAAGCCCAACCTCTGTTTTTCTAGTTAAGGAGACTCCTAATAAATTTAATGGGAACTTCTTTGGGTAGGAAAAGGAGCTAAACTTTGAATTTTGGAAGGAAGAAGAGGGCAAGAAACATGTCTGAATAAAAATTTTATTTTAGTTTCATGGGTTTAATGACAACTTGCTTCATTTTATTTGCTTTTTGCAAGTGTTTCTGAATGAGACATTTGAAGTTTACAGAAAGCCAGAATATATACAGAGATCATGTGTGTATATCCATATGCAGCTGCTGATGTAGTTTACAGGCTTGCACTTGGATTCCACACTGGGATTGTTTATGCATTCATTTTTCCTTGTAGTTGGGTATTGTATCATTTGCAAAATTTGGCATGTTACATATCTATACATATACATTCCTATCACGTAAAAGATATAATTCCAAGTTCATTTGCTGGAATCAGTATTCATAGCTAATAGTTCCTGAATAACTAAATGGCTAAAAGATGTTGCTTTTCCAAGTAATTTGTTGAATACGAGATAATAAATAAATGGAAAGAGAATAATGTAAACTGAATTAAAATAAACACCTCTGTTACAGTGTGTGATTGGCCAAAGAGGAAATATTTCTAAAAGAGAAAACCAAAATCTGAATTCAGAAAAAAGTAATGTTGCTGTATCTTCAAAAACAGCGTAAAACCAATCATTAACTGCTCTTCAATAAGCAAATCGATTAACCTCTGTGGGGGGGTTTTCTTGCCCCTTTCTTTGAAGTGGTCTGTACTTGTCGCTGCTGGAGACAAGGTTCTAGGTTAGATGTGGCCTTCAGTATTCACAAATAACTTGCAAATGATAATAAGGGAGACAACACTTTCTGACTTGCATCTGTGATGAAGACTGAAGGATGCAGTTCAGTGGTCTCGCTGTGGTAAAACTTTAGCAAGGACTAAGTTGCATGGCACTCTGGGTTTGAGGCAATTGTTCTGACTTGAACATACTTTAAAATACCTCCTTGATTGTGAACAAGATGGACTGTGAACGCTCCCTCTGAATTTTTGTGAGGAAAGCAGCCTTGGACAGGGCAACATAAAACCTCCGAGCTTATCAGCTGTGTCTTGCTGGTATAGTGTCTGGCTGCTGATATGAAACTCAGTGAACTAAGAAAATTACAGCTGATAATTGGAATGGAATTGTTTGTTAAAGCAAGTCAAGGTATGCTGTTGCGTTAAACAGTGGTTGTATGACATGCTATGCCTCATTTTATACAGCAAGTTTAAACACGTTTAAGTCTTCATGCACCAAGCTGTGTTATTAGACAGACAATTAATATAAAATCTTAAACCATGCTTAGCTGACTTTGAAATGCTGTGGTTGCAATATTAAGGTTCTTAAGAATTCCGTTTCCTATTTCTCTATTTCTCTTTGCAAGATGCTTGAAAAATCTATTAGAAGTGTATCTTTGAACATTCTCATTTGAAAAAGTGTTGTTTGAGTTGTGTCTTTATAATTTTGCCATTAGTATCCCCAAGAGTCTTAAAAGTCTTTGCTCCGAGTTGGTGGAAAGTTTAACTGACTGCTGTCCAAAGACTCTGAAAACTTACGCCAAATATTTTTTGCTGACTCATGAGAAGAAAAACTTAACTTTGGTTTTCTTTGCGATCCTGTAGCAGTATACTGATACTACTAGATCAGCATAACAGCCTGTAAATTCTTGTTTGAATAGACCATCTAGTGCAGCAGTAAGACTTAGTAGGAAAATCAAGAACAATCTTTTGAATTGAGATAAAAATTATTTAACTAGTATGCAATAGGTGGACTTTGAAGATAGCGAGGCTGTGCTGTAGAATGTGCCTGCATCTAGGCAATTTTGCTATTACGTCTTTTAGAAATCTTGAAAAAAGAGGTATGAAATAACTTCTACAGAGATAATCTATGCAAAATTTGGTTCCAGTTTCCTATCACCTTAATGTTAGCTATTGCAGCATGGTTGCCATAGCTTTGTGATGGACACTTTTAGTAGGGTTTTTCAGGACATTTACTTTACATATATATATTAAAACCATGTTGTAAGAGGCAGAAGAAAAATCTGTGCCATAAGTTTTCCTAGTACAACAGAAAACTGCAGATATATGCAATGTAAGGGTATACATTGGTTGAACCTTGGGTGCTTATAGTTTGCCTGCTTATACCTGCCGGCTGATGTGGTATTAGGAAGTTTCAGACAGTACATGGTACCCTTTAGGAAAAGTAGAGTTGAAAGGTATCATTTATGCAGGGGTTATGGTTAAAGTTAAGAAGGTGTGATTAACAGCAGTCAATCTAATTCAGAAGGCCTAGTAGGCAGTTAAAGTACCTGTACATATGTTCTTGTGGCCACTGTAGTGCCGAATAACATCGATGTTAGCACATTTGGAACTGCCATTCAATCTGCACCACATTTAGTACGTTGCAATAAACCTTGAGAGCAGAAACAACTGTTCTTGTGTCCTATACCAGCAGGAAGAAAAAATCTGTTCTCTCTGAAACATAAAGAGATCAAGCACTGCACCTGAACAGTATCATGTCATATTTTCTAGCTTATGTTTGCATCTATGTATAATTATTGAAATGCATATACTCTTTAAACTGTGTGTGTTTGTTTTACTGCAGGTAGTTCATTCGGGTTTTATATCAAGGAAAAGATTTTTGGTTAGGCCAAATGAAGATGACTGTGTATTTGAGAAAATAAGAGAAGAGGACCTGTGATAATTTATTTTTGATACTGTCTTTCAAAATGAATTGTGTGGGAATAATAAACCTGTTGTTGAAACCTTGAATTATAAGGGGGGAAAAAAAATCTTCAGTGTAATTCCTTGCCTTTGCAGTGTTCTTTATAGTATTTACAACTCTAGTGAACCAGTTCTCAGGGTACTGAGAATCTGGAGATGTGTTGCATATATGCTTTTTTCCCCCAGACTGAAATTGTTGGGGCAGAAAGGGGAGAGTTAATTAGAAACAGTGCTATGATGTTATAGGAGGAAAAAGTATTTATGTATCAGTTTATAATGTTTCTGTGAGTATTGGTGTAATTAGTGTGATGGCTGAGCAGGTATTGCTACCTTGACATTGTCTGGAAAAGGCACGTATTTCCTACAATCATTCCCCTCACCAGGACCAGTCATTCCTTTCAAGCAGAACAGACTGTTGTGGTGCCCTTATTGATCCCTTGAGATACCCTCAGTGCTGATTCAAAAGCTGCCACGCTTTGGAGAATGATGGTATTAATATGCTCTCTGGCGCAGCAGCGGGCAGGACTATCAGTTTAACGTATGTAGCTGCATCAGAAATTGAGCTGTTTTATACTGATGACATTGGGGTAAGCAAGTACCTGATGTAGTCAGATAAAGGTAGATACACCATTAACCACATCACTAAGTTGTTTGCTACTGCAAGAAGACTAAAGTGCCTAACCCATGATACTGTACACCAGCCTTGAAGGATCTTCAATTCTTCTTACTGTCCTTGCTTTGAAAGGCAGGATCAGGTATGAGAACAGGGAAAGGAAAATTTAAAAAAAGCCACACTCTGATATTTTGGGGGGAGTCAAATAACTTCAGCCCCTTTTTTTCTTGTAACATTTTCCCCATTTACTTATTCTCATAGAACCTTGGTGCTGAAGAGACTCCAGGTGCAAAGGAACTGTACTCCTGCCTCAATTTTTAGCTTGCTGATTATGGGGATGTTTTAGGGGTAGCACACACACAGCAGTATCAGAAATAAAGCACCCCGAGAGGCAGAGTTTTGACAACTTTGTGGCGTTTCCTTTATTTAACAAAAACAGTAAACTGTTAAAATTTTTGGAATTTTTTTTTCTTCTATAAATCAGAGACCTGATTCCCTTCATTAAAGCTGTTGCCCCTTATCCTGCCCCTCTGCGGGCTATCATCGCATCCCCGTCCGTCCCGTTTCCGTGCCTCCCTCTCGCTGTTCGTGCCCGACTCGCCG